TGGTGGCAGCTCTCAAGCCTCTTCCCCGCCCCCTTCCCGGAGGCACCAACCTGAACCACTTTTGAAAAAGGGAGCCCTTAAGCCACGGGATTTTTTTTCTGCCCTCTCCCCATGCCGAGGCATCAAGGGACAACACGGGAGGGAAATGCAAGTGATTTGGGGAGACGGGGAGTTCCCCTTCTCCCCTCCAAGGGGCCATTTCATCTCCAACTGGCCTCCCCCTTGGCCAATGGGAGGCAGGCTCCACATGGTCCCCCCCCAGACCACAGATGCGTTCCCCCCCCACCATTCACAGTTCGTAAAAGTCCGTGTGGGTGGCCTGGGGGGTAGGGGGTAGTGGAGGGGGACCTGCCCCCCGGCCGAGCGGCCCCTCAGGACGTGTTAGTGATGGGTCCGGCGCCGTCTGCTTGTGTCACCTGGCTCCTGTCCGTTCCCATTCTTCCATCACCTACAGAGAGAAAGACGAAAAGACTCAGGGGGAAGACCAAACCTTTCTCCACGTTCCCAGAAGGCATCAGAAATTGCCAGGGTCCCGTGTCATAAAACGCCCCACCATGGACAAGGGCAGGCAAGCCTTTCCTCCTCGTCTTCTCTTGCTTGTCCCTGCTCGAGTCCAAAGAGGCCAGAGAGAAAGCACTCACTGTGCGCAGTCGTGGGGCCAGGCAGGGATCCCATGGAGCTCGCTTGGGACCGAATGTGTGGTGGAATGAGGCTGGAATTCAACGCTGGCTCAATGGAGAGCTCTATAAGGGAAGAGAGACAGGATGACTCGTATGTAGGGCTTGTCAGCAGACGGCAACTCAGGGACATGGGGAAGGGGGTTGTAGTGCATCCAAGGGCCTGGGGTGCGGTGGGGGAGATAATTCAAGCGTGTTTCACCATTTTGGATCAAGGTGCTAAAATTAAAAGGGAGCAATGTTGCAAAAGGCGGATGGAACAAATCATGTCAATTCTTGCAGGTAAAAAGGAACTTCATCTGATGCTGGGATCAGCATCTTCGTTGGGGGGGGGAGATGCATGCAGGCTGAAGCAAAAAATCTGAATAAGGGATGAGGTTTAAGAGCTGGAATCCAGCCATATATAGGGATAGCACCGAAGACCTCTAACAAACCAGCTGTTGAAGCTCGGGGTATCTCAAAACTCTAACTCATGCACTTTAATTCTAAGCCTTCCAAAAGCTTGGATAAGAACAGACACATATCAGAAGTACCAACACCTCCTCCACTTAAGTGCTGGATCAGCAAAAGGGTAGGTAGGTGTAACTGATGGCGCAGCTGGTCTATATGATGCTTCACACCAGATCTAAGGGATTTACATAAAAGAGGCACTGTGTGGTCAGGTGATCAACCACTGAAATCAGCCCCTTATTAGTTCCGTTTAACTGATAGCCCCTTCTGTGAAATCACACAGGGTTACTCATGCACAGGGTCGGCGAGGGAACGGAGGCAGGCCACATACAATGAAGTGACACAAGCTGAGACAGAAGCCTCTAATTCTAGGTGTGTCACAAGCAGTCTATGGACAGCTAGAGACCTCCCACTAATGCACTACTAAAGACCCTTCTCTGCCACCACTACTATCGGGAAAAGACTTAGGGGAGAAAAGGGCAAATATGGGAACTTCACTCACAGCAGTTGCTGTCAAGACAGGCTGAAATTGCATGGGTGACTCGACTCTGATTTTTGACCCTTTTTTTTTTAATGACTATGACTTGACTCACGAAACCCACCTACCCCTCCCTTTGCTGGGGAAAAAAAGCTTGTTTTTAACAAGGACTCAGACGTGGGGCTTGGTACCAAAGACTCAGACCCCGGACACAAAAACTTGCCAACATTCCTGGAAA